GCACGTGCGATTAATTCCAATCTTTTTGCTCTGCAAGGCGTATACCCGAGTTCAACTTATTATCTATGCCTATAAGGTTACGATGTTCAAACGGCTAGCTTGTGCGAAGCGAACAATGCATGTCATAAGATCAATAACCCAAATTGTTGTGGCTGCAACTACTAGAAAGCCTACGTTGGATAAAGGTGCGGCCCGCAGTTTCACCCTGTTATTTGTATATGACCCTCATGTAATAAGGTTGCACACCCTGGCCTATAATATCGCTTCAAAAATAAGATTCTTTTATTTTTGCTGTTTTCAGTGTATCAGTATGTTTTTTTTTTCCAGTTTTTTGGACACAATTCAAAAATTTTGAAATATCAGCCAACTTGTAGGTAAATTCTATCCGTGGTTTCAAGGCAATCTCTCTGGGTCGCCCAATCCTAAACCAAAACATAAAATAAATTATTCAATTGGAATGTGAGGTTTCATACGGATAGCGCTGATGTTCTCAAACGGCGTAAATTGGACCTGTCCTGCAATCAAAAAAATTTAGTACACAATTAGATTGGCGGTTTAATTTGAGCAGATTGCAACCTTGTTGGGATTGCAATGTTTATTATTTATGATTGTACTTTAATTGTAAGTAAGTCATCTCAATACAATCATTTTTAAACATCTACGTCCAAAATTCTGGCACTCACGAAGTATGTGAACCAATATGGCGGACACCGGAACGTAGAATGTGTACCAGGTTAGGTCATAATTTCAGATACAAATATTACGGGAGTCACTTGGCTAGTCCCCGAACTCGTAATAGAACTAAAATAAGGAAATTAGAATGAAATTATGGCCTAACCAATTTTCTTATTATGGAAAAAAACTAATTTTTAAAAAGCAAAAGAGATAATTATTAAACGGGGCAAAATAATTATGAAACGTTTCCTTAAAATAAAAGCAGGCTTATATCAAACAGTCAATCATTCAATTTTTATCATTCGAGTTGTCGAATTTGAATAAGTGACGTTTTAGAGTTATGACGACAATTTCGCTATGACGACAATTTCGACAATCCCATATCTGGATATATAGGGTGTCCATAAAATCTTAAGAAATTTTTAAAATTGCAAAGAGAATTCATTGATACTATATATTGTTTTGGTCCTCACAGATGTATTAAATGAATTTGAAAAAAACTAAACAATTACTGATTAAAAAAGTCGTCCGTCCAGGCTCATGTAACGTTTTGAAGGTTAACTTGTGGAATATCGTTCCAATTCAACCTACACGCTACATCCATACGCATTTTATTCGTGATCTCATTCGACCTTCAAATTTTCTGCTTTCCTAGCGACCACCCTCTATATTTATTCCTATTCTCGTCTGGGTTTAGTTTATTTGTCTTGTCAATATAGGTTGTTGTGAATTTAACGATGAACCGCACTGAACGTGTATTTTAATGATGTATATTCGATTTTACAGCCGATGGCAAATTATATTGTTCTGTTTTCGTCAACTTATGTCGCAGTGGTGATACGTATCAAAATCATGTAAATATGTCAGAATTCAGGGAAATTCGTTATGGACTAAAATTACTCTATACTTCAAGTGTAGTTTTAGTTCCATATCAGTATTTTGGGTACTCCCGTAGTGTATGTACTAGGTTAGGATCAGGCCATAATTTTATTCCAATTTCCCTTATTTTAGTTCTATTACGAGTTTGGAGACTGTCTGTGTTAGCCAAGTGGTTTTCCCACCTGCCCATAGGTTTTAGTCCCTTTACATAACTTGATGTAAAGTAAGCGAGCAAAATTAGTTCCCTCTATATTGGTATACACACATCTGGAGCGCCGTATTTTGTATATAAGGATAGGTTGATAGGTTTCTTGGCACACCGAGTGTGGTGTGGACACAGTTTTTCTGCCATTGTAGAATTGATAATTAGTTGCAGTATTTTGGTTTTGCGGGGTTCGATCGAGTTGCACAAAGAGTACGAATACATCAAGAGTGTGAAATAGATTAGTTCACCCATTGGCGTGAAACTTTGATAAATAACTTAAGCCAATATATCAATACGATTTGAGTACACCCGTAGTTTGTGTAGTTAGGGTTAGGGTTAGGCCATCATTTTATTCCGAACTGGTAACAAAATTAGTTACCTTCCATTTTTGCAAACACACACTTCTGGAGCGCCATGAATTAAACTGGCATTTGAAAATTACTACATTAGACTGAATCCCAGCTATCAAAACATCGCGAAAACGATCTTGTCCTTGAAATATCTTTAACTTGTCTTGAAGCATAACTTATAGGCTGATCATACACGATATGACATATGTAGGTTTCTGTTTTTCCCCGCATCGACGGCTAGTCAGGTCACGGAATGACAGAAACTGATTGTAATCGAATTACTGCCCGTGTCATGGAATGAGTTAAGAATAGGACAAGGATATATATATAAGCCCGTGATCAAATTCAAGAATTTGTGTTTTTTCATAAATATGTCAAATAATAAAGATATATCATCTTGATTGATGGATTAATTTGGGTGTGAGATATAGTAATTTAATGGGTGCTCCGAGGTATGTGCACCAAGATGACGCACAACCTGAACATAGTATGTGTACCAGGTTAGGGTTGTCAGGTTGTGTCCCATCTTGGTGCTCATATAGACGTCATTAAATGTAGCGTTCCGCGCGTTTGATTTATCTCAGCGCCGGGAGGTTAAAAGTCTCGTATCAGAAACCTTGATTTTACCCCCTCATAGTTTGATAAATTCAAGTAGCATCAAAAGACTCGGGCACTTTCCCAAGTCAAGTATCTTTTTGAGTAGTGTCAGCTCAGATGTGATACATTTTCAAGCAAGTCGTTTTGAACATTTAGAATTCTAGTATTTTCTAGTGTCCAGCCATCATTGTTTGCTCAAAATATTTGTTTAAGCAAGTACGTGCTGTTGAAGCGTCGTAAATAATATATATATATATATATATGTCACCGGTATGTAAATGAAAACAAATTGACAAATTTCAAGCATTCGACGAATAAACTCTCACACCGATTCTCGCGTATATATTGCTTCGATACTAGAATGAGCCAGACTGGTCTCTACAAGCCATAAAAAAGTTCTTTAACGACAAAATGCCAATCATTTCCATTTTAAAAGATTTCTTCCATGTTGGCCACGGTCGTACAACTATGCTCACTTTAGAGATCTCCGCTTTAAACCTACAAATCATTGTATTTTTTCGAAAAATGTATGATAATCATCAAGCCAAAGGCGTAGTTCGAATAAGCGAATTTCAGATCCGGTACTTGTATTGTCTAAGTTTAATTTTATTCTTTACACTTTTGAATTTTAGAACAATCTTTTTTAAAATATTTGCATTCTGTACAAATAATTGTCAATTTTAGCGCTTTCCAAAAATAACCAATAACATGTACGGAATCGTTTTCACACACAATATTTGTTTTCGAAATTACTAGCATTACCAGACTGTTTACCGAACAGTCAAAATAGTAAATTCGAGAGCCGTTTTGTCGGAATTACGACGTTTCCGAGAATAACTCGTAGATTTAACTGCCCTTGAACCCTTGTTGACGCTGATAGACATCTCGAACGTTCACTGTAAGTTTTTAAAGAGTTATAGACACGTAAAATGTTACGATTCTCACGTACAAGCTTTTCATGTAACGTGTGACATAAAACAGAACACCTGATTGAAGTTTGGCATTTAAAATGATGTTCGTGGATTAGAATCAGTTAGGGAGCGAGTGTTCGCTGCCGATTTTTTTGATCTAAAATATACATTGTCAAAAGTAGTACTTTTAGAAATCGTCTGCGAGACTATCGATTTTAAGTAAGGAATTGTGAAGGATATATGGTGCCAATCACTGTCTTGTAGAGGGCTATCAAGGGTTTGATTTTTAGGTTAGATACAGTGCTACACCAAGTGCTCACTGGCAACTATGTGCAGATTTTAATGTACAGACTTGTTCTCTAAAATGATTTCAAAATGTGTCACGAAAAACAAAAAACGGAGTTGGTTCGATCGCGATCGTAAAGCAGGATTTTATTAAAAAACAAGTTAAAAAACGCAAGTGTATATTTAAATACGAGAGGCCCGAATATTATAATATATTATTTAAATTTATTTGAATACAATATGTTTGCCACTATTATTAAACCCCTATACCTTGCCAGTAATAGTTTGTATTTTGTATATATATTCATAGTTTATACCAGGGCTACTCAACTGGCGAACCGCGGTCCGAATCCGGACCTTTCGACCATTTAATTTGGACCGCGTTTTCTTGTTTATTTTGGCAGTATAAGTACCGTTTTATAGTTTTAGATGATTTTTGATACCATTTACATAAACAGTGTGTCGTACTGGTACCGATGTACGACATTTGTGTCTATATTTGCGAGCCATTCATTACTCTTGTATTTAATTTAATATTTGCATTTCGTTTATGTAATGAAATAAATTTTCTATAATGCCCGGACCCCAGTAATTTTGAATTTTCCCAAACGGACATTTGGTGAAAATAGTTGGGTAGCCCTGGTTTATACAATTATATTAATGAAAGGATGTTTTTGCATGAGATAATTAAAGCACTGCACAGGTGTTCCTCGAACCTCTTAAACAGTGATTCTGAACCGCGGTTCTCAACTATTCTTTCTGCAGCTCTCATTATTCTTCAAAATATTAATCATTTTCGGTGAAAATTTGGTTTTTACCACGAGTTTTGTTGATGTTTTTTAAATACATGGTTGAGTTTTGTAGCTGTTTTATTTTCTGTTTTTTTATGCCATTCCTTACAACTTTAAGGTTTTAAATTTGGCTCCGACACTAAAAAGATTGAGAAACACTGCTCTGCAATGTTCCGCGGTTTGATGTTCCGCTCCGCCATAAAATTTGAAACCCATTTGCTTAAATTAAACGAATAAACAATTCTTATATATATTCTTACTTCCGTTTAATCAGCCTATGATATAGATTTACTTTGCGATAAAAAGAATCATTTTTACAAACCACTATGGCGAGTGGTGTCGACGAAAAACAGAATGGAAAAATAGAAACTGAATTACGGGATGAAGCTATTGAATTACTGGAAATGAAATCGAAAGAAAACGGGAAGGAAAAAGAGATTTCTGAAAGAGAAGATGACGAAGATACAGAAGTCACACTTCAGGTTCAGTATTTTTTGTAATGCTCGAGTGTACAAATATTGTTTGTCGCAGTTTAGTTGTATATTTGCCCTGTATATGTATATTTGGATGTTTGGCGGATTGCGAATTATTTGGAACTAGGTGCCAGTTATCACTAAATTGTTTCGATGTTTCACAGACAATTCATGGTTATCACTTCAACGTGATATAAGTATTTCAAGATTCGGCTTTAAAAAGTCGACTTTTGGGAGCCGAATTTGGTTCGAAAAAAGGGTCCAACTCAGACTTCCCTTTGAAATTATTACTTATCGATCTTAAGATCGGTAAGTATCTTGATAGGTATTTGTCTGTCTGTCTGTTAGATACACGCGATATCTCACGCCAGCAATTTTGAATCTCCTCCAAATGAGCTAGAGGTCCCCGCGTTATTCCTATAAATCATTGCATTTTTTTCTACAACATATGATTAAATATGCTGTCTGTCTGTTGTTTGGATTTTCTATGTTGTAGAAAAAAATGCGATGATTTGTAGGTTTAATGCGGGGACCTCTAGCTCATTTGGAGGAGATTCAACCTTGATGTCGTGAGATATCGCGTGTATCTAACAGACAGACATACAGACACGGATACACGCAGCTAGATCGATAAGTCGGCGGTTTCTGATCGCTATCTCGTTGAATGTTTTATGGATTACTTTAAATCGGGTCATATGTGAATAATCAGTTAAATGCAGAATGTAAGCTAACCTATCCAGAATTGACCTTAACATTTTTTGATATTCCATGACTTTTTGCTTTTTGCGGAGTCGGGTTTGGATTCCAGTTTGAAAACCGGGTATTATCCAACTTTAATTTTAAAACAAATATAATACAGGCAAAATAAAATTTCAAGAATCAACAACTTCCTGCATGAAGATTTATTTTAGTTTTTAAGCAGGAAAGCATTTGTAATTTACGTCTGGTTTGAAATAATTTTTCAAAGTTTCAGTTCCATATTAAGTTATATGGAATGAGAAACTTTTATTAAACAAAATCATCACGTAATCAAGAATAAAAGTTTACTTTTTCAAATCAGTATTTAATCTTAAGAACATGTTCGAAAGAAAATAAAGTCAAGTGATTTAGGATTACACAATAATAAAATACCTCAATCAAGTTTGTGAGATTAAAATCGCTATTCTTAAAAAACTTTTTTCAATTTTAGCTTCTGAGAATCAGAAGCTGAAATCCTAACATCATTAATATTGCATGCATTAAGAACTGAACTTGACTCGCTATAAACAAAAATCAGTAAATTCGCTAAATTTAAAAGTATATAAATAATTGAACAACTTAGATAGCGTAGCGCAGAGCTTAGGATATAAGGTGATTTCATTTACATTTTGAATTACATCAATATTAATTGTACATTTGCGCATTTTTAAACAGCCTTAGCAAACGTTTTCTCAGTCACGTCCACAGTCGTCTCGTATTGAAAATATATTTAATCAGATACCTTGAGTCTTTGACATATTTACGTCTGGCTAAAATATCGTCTTTTGACTACATTTTTTTTTTCTGTTCGGGGGACTAAAAGCACTTGAACAAAACATATTTAATCGTTGACATGTCAAAAAATAAAGTCTCGATAATTTCGTAATATCGATGATTTTAGATTGAGATATATCAATATTCAAATGCAAATGGCTATTATGGAAATAGCTTATAAATTGGTATCGGCTTGAACACTAACCTAACACGAGTATATATACAATAACTCAACATTTTAACGAATTCAACACGAATTATGTTGAACAAAAGACTAACAAATTCCGTATTTATTTTACCCTTCGCCACCTCTGTAATGTGTTCATACCGGCGTGATTGGTATTCTCTGTACATACCAAGTTTACGGAATATCGACTCTTGTATGACTTCAAATATTTTTTGTTGTTGTGTTCAAACCGAAGCCGCCACTTGTACTTATGGTCACTCGCACTATACGTTTCTGAGAATGACCAATATATTCATTCATATTTTCCTAAATTGGTATACTCTGTGTTAGTACCAGATGTAGGTTTTGAACCTGACATTATTAACCCGCGATCACTGTATTTTAGTCCAAAAAGTTATTCTCATTAATTCCTTCAAACACACGTTTAAAAAGAATGCCTCTCAGTTGACTGTTTGCCTGCGATGGTCAAGAGGTTAAAGCGTTAGAATTAACTACGTTCGCTTTGCCGTTTACATATCTCGGGCCCCCCAAGGGCGTTATAAATTAGGCAGACAAAGCCGAACCAGAAAGATGAGAGAACTTTATAACTGTACCTGCTGGTACAGGGCCTTGCTCGGAGCGCAAGACGAGAGTTAACGTAGAATGAAAATTGTTAAAACACGAACCCAACGAGAAACTTCCGATCTGTTAAAACTTTGACATTTCTTTTTTTCTCTAGCTTCAAAACTCAAGTTATTGCACAACAATTCTTCTGATGACGATAATAGCGACTGTACCAATGATCAACTACGGATTAACCTGCCTGAATCCTACGATTCCTGTCCTGCAAGAGATGTATAACAACACGTATATGGTAAGAACATTTTAATTGCAATTTTATCTTATACCCTATGGCAGTGGTTCACTACCTTTTATGGCTCGTGGCTCCCTTCCGGAAAATTTCCGCACTCGTGCCCCCCTGTTTATCATTCCAGTGGTATTTATAGTGTTATTTTGATTGGTAGAATCCAAATTACATTAGGTTCAAATAATTCATGCCCAACAAAGTGAAAACACCCTGTGAAATAACTTTATCAAATAATGAAAGGAAGAAGAACGAGGACATAAGAGAAATGTAAAATCAGTTTGGCGCCTAGCATTGTGGTCCCCCTCAAACTCAAACTGCTTTATGGCCCACTTGTGGGGGCCACGGGCCCTTTGTTGAGAACCGCTGCCTTATAAAATAGATGTAAATATCGAAGCGTGAGAAATATGTAATTTTTAAAAATTGCGCTTCAAAATCTTGGTCAAATTTCACATTTCGTAATATAAAAAAAACCTATGTTTGTATTCCAAATGCATAAACATTTTCCTTTTGATTTGACCATTTCTTGCATTTTGTAATTTTGACCTGTTACAATTTAAAAAAATTCTATGTCCTGTGTTCAGTAAAAATACATATAAACGGCGCGATCTGCAATATGTTTTCTTGTCTTGCCCTGAGCCCGACGATGTACTAATATCCACAGTGAATTATTGAGAGTTTCATAATTATCACTGATCCATTTCTCTTTAGTCTCGATATTCCGAACCAATGCCGGATTCTACATGGGAGATGTTGAAAGCTCTGACAATGTCAATGATCGTTGCCGGATCTTTCGTTGGATCACTCAGTCTAAAATCTGTGTTGATGTTTCTCAGCAGGAAGCAATGCATGATCGCTGTACATGGAATCAACATTTTGGGTGAGTAACATGGGTGTAGACGAAAAGACTTGGGGGCCCCTGACCTTCCCCCCTCCCACCTCTTTCTTAAATTTGCAACATTTTATTTTTTTTAAAGCTAGTTTACGGTATTTGCTGAGACACAAACTCGTACGTCTTTTACAACACTATTTGGCTTTATTCTTTGACTTACTTTTAATCCTTCCAAACGAACCAACCCAGATAGATGAGATTGTGTAGTTGAATATAGCTTGGGTAACTTCGACATCGAAATAAGACTGTGGAGAGCTTTCTCAAAATATCGTTTGTTCGAAGTCACGATTATAAATGTCGTATTAAAAATTAAATTAAAATTGGGGTGGCGCCTTTCGTGAACAATAGTATGCAGTAAAACTTATAAACAGTCAAATCGAAAACGAAAGTTAGTTGTATGCCTTTTATTATAAATTGTATATGACACAATTGTTCACAAAGTAAACACGCCAAAGGTGTACCCTTGAAAAGCTATAATATGCTCTTCATACGTTAAACAAAAATGTAGAATAAAGGATAAAGCTTTATAAATATTGAAATAGAGTATAGTTAAGTTTTTCTATCTCTTTTCAGAGCAAAAAAAAATCTCTGTGTAGATTCGCTATTTATTTTTTGAGCTGGTGCAATATTGTTATGAAAGGGTTTAAAGTTTTTTTTTTGCCATGGATAAGCTAAAAACTTCGTCTGGAAGATATTAATCCTAATTTTACAAAATCGTTCCCAGGTGCTCTCATCATATGCCTTGGTGCAGGACTCAGTAAAGCCTACGAACCAATGATAATCGGGAGATTCGTGATGGGATTGGCGAACGGACTTGCACTCGGTAATATATTCAGGTTTTTGAAAAAATTGTTCGTTGTTGTGTCATGTTTTCTTCAGTTCTATTTTCGGTACTCCCGTAGTATGTAAACCAAGATGGCGGCACCGGAACGTAGTATGTGTACCAGGTTAAGGTTGGGTCATATACTACGGGAGTCACTTGGCTAGTCCCCGAACTCGTAATAGGACTAAAATAAGAAAATTGGAATAAAATAATAGCCTAACACTAACCTGGCTAACACATACTAAGTTCCGGTGTCCGCCATCTTGGTTCACATACTACAGGAGTACCTTATTTTATATGCGACGTTGTTGTAGTATAACACGTAGAGTTAAAGGTCAGTTACGCCTTTGATTATGTGGACAAGGACGGGCACTGCAATCAGCTTGGGGATCCAAGTTCGGACATACACAGTTTGATATGCTCGGCATTATACGAATATTACAAACAAATAAATATAGTCATTAGCGGCTAGAATTTAAGGAGATTCAATTCGACACAAGTGATATTTCCAGAAAAAGCATCGTTATAAATGTTTATAAATTAATTTAATTCACGAAGAAATGTATCTACGTCGTTTCGTACACAATTGTTCATATGAATGACGCCAATAGCGTAGCCAGCCCAAAATTATTGGAGGGAGGGTGCTTTTTGTATAATGACGTAATATGGCGCTCACTCGTGTCTTTTCCGAACAAAGCCAGATGAAAGTAGCCATTGATATCTAACAATGTAGTAAAGAATCTATCCCGCCTAGTTCATTTGGTGAAAGGCAAAATGGTGTTGGAAAAGACGTATGAATTTATATCATACTGCAAATGCCGCAAAATTGTATTTAAGAAAAATGTTGAAAAAAAAATTTGGGGGAAGGGGCATGGCCCGCGAGGCCCCCTGGCTACGTCTATAAATGACACCGGTCTCTGTAATGATAGATAATTTCTTTTTATTTGTCATTGAAAAGCAAAGCAATACATACATTTCTTGCTTACATGGACGGCGTGTCGTCTATTACGATCAATAAAAGGTGACAAGTATAAATATCGCACATGTCGCTTTGACGTCTTCAATAAAATTGGAACGCCATGCTTAATTGGATTATTTCAAACATACAGTAAATTTATGTGCACGCCATCGTGTTTTTTATCGTAGTTGAATAATGATTGTCTGAAGGAGTTTGACCCCGGTCAGGCAAAACGTTCTAGAAATACATTTGTGCTGGTTTGAAGCAAGTCTCTAGAACTGGAATGGGCAAACTACGACCCGCGGGCCAAACCCGACCCGTTGATAATTCAATCTGGCCCGCCTGATGCTGCCACAACCAAATTTTAATGTTTTAGGCAAATTGAGATTGCAATTAAATTTAGTTTTGGCGCATGCTTATTGTTTTCCGCATTTGCTTTCGTAACACCGTAAATATTGCTCATAAATGTAACTTTCACGTCACACTTACATAACCCGATAGTCTAGCATCAAATGAACACTGCTCTAGAATCAAATAACACGGTCATTATTCATAATATTTTGCAATTTCCCAACCTCATGAGTTTGTGACGAACGCTGATAAACACGTGTGAATGTCATTGCTTCTGTGAACGTGACATTTTGTTGCTGTGAAAATTCAAGGCAATGAATCATGTTACGACGAAAAAAATTGATTTTTCTATCTCCTGCGCTACATGACAAATTTCGTCGAATATACCAATCGTGCGGTTTCATTTTCGGATTGATTAATAGCATTAATTCCACATTTATACATTTATACGACGCTCTCTAATTTCGATTTTTAGCTCATTGTACTCCATTGTAATATACGTATATATATACATAGAGTGTCCATGGAGTCTTTTTTTAAATATTTGAAATTTTTTAAAATTGCAGAATAAATTTACCCATACCATATATTGTTCTGCACCCCACAGTTGTATTAAATGAAGTGAAAATACTTAAACAATTACTGATAAAAAAATAAATAAAAATAAAACTGGTTTAAATATATTGAGGACTGACTTCGAAACAAAAATGAAATTGTGAGGGATATTATTACACCAACGGTGGCGTGTAGAATTGAATGTCAACAAAGAAATATCGATCATCTTTTATTTGAGGAAATATATGTAATGAATTGTCGCCTTTGGAGATCGATGTCACTATCATGGTAACCTTGACATTGGCGGCAAAAATATCTGTTACGTCATATATTTACGTACAATTGCAACAGCCAACGATTTCCTCTCTTGAAAGGTATTCTAGCAAGTAATAATCGATGGAACGTATTATCGGAGGTTATAAATTTGTGCTTATGGTGTAATGTGACGTATTGAATCGAGTATGATTCGTTACATCATCGTTGTTCATCACCATTAGGCAATGTGTCACAAATCTGGCTATTACGTAATGTGTCGTAAAACTGGTGACGTATGGGTCTGAAATAAATTGCGTGATCATGCAAGGACTTTGTCATAAAACGACACACTTTATTCGAAAGTTAGCCGAAAGTGACAGATCCGGACAACATTTTAAAGCCTGAGTTTTTACGCAAGTTCGTTAATAAAATCTTCATGTTACATAAAATAAAACGACAACTGACCGATCGCGTACTTTCATTTCCGAATTGATTAATAGCATTAATTCTAAGCTTGACGTCATGTATGTTCGGTTCTCCCATTTCAATTTGTAGATCATTGTACTCCACTGTAATATACTCATTTTTACAACAACGGTGGAGCGTAGAATTGAATATCTACATATAAATGCCGATCATCCTCCATTCGGAGGAAATCAATGATGTTTTTGTCGCCGTAGCTTTTATCGATGCCACTATCATGGTAACCCTGACATTGGCGGGGAAAACATCTGTGACGCCATATATTTATTTACGTAATCAATACGATTGCAACAGCCAACGGTTTCCCCTATTTAAAGTTATTTTAGCAAGTAATAATAAGGAATTGATCACGTTATCGGAGGTTATAAATTTAGCATTATGGTCTCCAGTGTAATGTGACGTATTGAATGGAGTATGCTTCGTTACATCATCGTGGTCTATCACCATTACGCAATGTGTCGTAAAACTGGTGACGTATGGGTCCGAAACAAATCGCGTAATCATACAAGGACTTTGTCATGGAACGACACCCTTTGATTCGGAAGTTAGCCAAAAGTGGCAAATCCCGATGGCATTGTGGAGCCTGAGTTTTTACAGTAGTCTGGTAAAGTTCGTTGTATAAAGTTTATACTATAAACAACTAAAGTTGGCGGCGAGAACTGGCGCGTCCACCGAACCGAAATCGTCGAATAGGTGGACTCTAGTGTGCACGCGAAATATAAAAAAAATAGAATATCACGGAAATGTGATTCCATGACTCATTTCAAAGGAGGTCAGAGGTATAGAATAATAGATATGTCAAACAAACAGAGGTGTCACTTTAATATGCGATCTCAACGTCATTTACCTTGTTACGTGATCGCAATCACATAAACACATTCTCATATGATTCCTTTCCTAACTCTGTCATCCTTGGGTTAGTGGGGTTAAAAATAGGTTATTACTGAAATCACTGAGATCACACAACTTCTCAGATTTCATTTCAAAGTAACACTCAAACAGGTATTAAAGGGATTAAGTGAATGATTTTAATTCGCACAAAATTTCCAAAATCTATAATATCTATGTGACATGACTACGAGACTAGTGTCCTAATGTCTTTGGTATGATAGATTTAGAATAAATATTTATAGTGAAATTCATTTAATTCGACCTTTCTCAGCAGTTTCGTAATTTAATATGTCTATCTGCGTCAAATAGAGTGTTTCTTTTAAAGCTTCAATTATGTGACAATGCTGTTCTAGTCAAAGCTGGTTTTGAGCGTCGTACAAATATGGTTCATTACTACGACCACCCATCGCTAACAGTATTCATTACTGATTTTTGGAATAAACTGTATGTGAAATAATTGGATGTGAATACTTGAGGATGAATGAACATTTCGGGACACCTTGAATTTATGACCAGTCTTCACTCGTAGATGATATGTGCGATCCATTTCGAAGAGGGATATGTTTACCACTACACAGTTCTTTACTCCTGTGACGTGTATTTGTACTTCCTACAAAAAAAATTTTGTTTATCTGTTTTGACCGATATTATATTTTTTAAATTGTATATTTAAAAACTTTTAATAACGTAGAACGAGTGTAAGCTTGCTTTTTCATTGCACTTCGCACCAAGCAAAATTACCAGGAAAAAATGTACAGTTCAATTCGCCATCTTCTCAAATGCGTTCATGCGCTCCATATTTCTACAACCGTGGTCACGTGAAACCCAATCTGTCACGCTTTTAACGCGTGATAAACACATGAAAAAATATATGGAGCTTAGAAGATCCTCATACACCTTATATATATCCATTACACGTTTGATTGGGGGTATTTACTGACCAGTTTGCAAAATAACTACAAGTAATTATACCGGATTAAACATTCAATCGTTCTCTATGCACGTACAAAGTGTAACTACTAAATATATTAAATATTCCGGTTAGTTGATTTAAGTGCGATTGCTTCATAAGTGCGAAGCTTATACATAATGTAACATGGTCCTACTTGGTTTATTACATGTTCTATCTTTGCTTGCTAACATATGTCGAATTGGGTTGTTGGCGAGGTTACATAAACAAATCATTTTGACATAAACACCGAGTAGGAGCTGGTATGATATTCAATTTAATGCGAGGCCGAATTTAACTAATCCCATACTCCAAATGGACTGATAACCGGACGAGAGGCCGCGTTTCTATACATATATGATTAAGCCGTTGCATCGGCTTTCCTTTCCCACGGGATGAAAATAAAAATCTTATCCTAACATGCGACCAAAGCTATTCTATTTGAACTTTGGAAGTCCCCCGGGGTACTAATCAAATATATCCGCGTTTGGAATTGTCGCCAGATGTCCCTCTTGGCAAAGGTCCCGCGTGATATTCCCAAAAAAACAGATTTCCGTCAAAACACGACGGCAACGCCGTGACCGTATTTACGTCTGCTTTCGACTACGTGACCGGCGAGTCGTCTGCAAGCGGTATTCCAATGTGACGTCATACTGATTGCTATTGTTCGCTTTCAATAAGAGTCATCCACTTTCGGGTTACTAGTGCCGGGCTTCCGCTGTTATGTTGTTTTGGTCTCGGCTAAGCTTGAAAACACGGAAGTTCATGTGTGCATACCCTCTCGTGGAGGAAAGATTTGGGCACGCTTCGAATGAGTTATTTGACAAGCACCGAGCCAAAGATGGATATATATAGAAGTTTTAACTAAGCAATAACCGTCCCTTTTGTTGGGTAGGGCTAGACAATTTCGATAATTTCAGAACCGAGTCGAATTTTTTTTTTCAAATCCAATCTTGTCTTCCTAGATGTATAATGATGGCGTAATGTGGCTTTTTTGTAATGAGTCTTTCTGACACATAAATTACTGAAAACCTAGAATTTATTACTCATTCAGTTTGCTGACAAGATCGTAGCCAGCCCCATTTTTTTATTGACGAGGGGGGGGGGGGGGGGGCATTTTTTTGTTTTAATGACGTAGTATAACGCTTACTCGTGTCTTGTCACTGTCTACGACTATGTTCGCTGATCTGGCACGCATAAACATGTTTCAATAATAATTTATAGTAAGGGAAGAATCACGTGTCAGAATTGCATTTGAAAATATGGCTTCACAGCGAAATGTGAGTTATTCACCTCGATACAAGATGGCGGCAGTTCAAAAGTTGTCTGAATCGATTTGACCAATTTACTATTAGATTTAAAATGCCCAGCCCTAGTTCACGGGTTGGGTTCCGCTGCTAGAAAACCTAATACCTGATCAATCCCAAATTTTCCAAGATACGAGGTATCCAAGGTTATTTTATCAAAGTTTAAAATTTTTGTTGCAATATGAAAGTTAAATAGTTTTACTTAAATATGTACTGGGGCGTGATCGTGGCCACTTGGTTAGGACGCAAGAAAAACCAAGGCCCAATGTTATACCGGTTGCGCGGATCTTCTAAAAATTCCGTTTTACTCGAATTTTCTAAAGTAGCATCTTATTTAGGCGCATATTATAATGCCTTTATAATCAATATTGAAACTAACACATTTTTCATTTCAATTTCTGTTCATGAGGTATGTCTTTTTAATTGATTAAAAATGTTTGCTCATTTTTGTTTGACAGGCCTTATACCAGTGATCATAGGCGAAACGTGTGTGAAGTCCAGATGTGCAGTCTACGATGGACTGATTGGCGTATTACTTGCAATCGGAGCATTGTTTGGCGTCATATTGGGATGGTCAGAGGTTGGTGCGCATTGTATTGTTGAATTTGCTATTACAGGAGAGCTCGAAGCTCAACGGATTACTTCAGACCCGACATGTAATAAGTAGAGATCGCAGAAATACATACGAAATATGTCTGTATTCTATTTGAAGGCTTCATAATTGTTTCCAAGTGGTTGAAATAAAAATAATTGGGGGCTCCCGAAGTATGCGAATCAAGATGGCGGACATCGGAATGTAATATGTGTACTAGGTTAGGGTTAGGCCATAATTTTAGGTATAAATACTACGGGAAGCTCTTGGTTAGTCTTCGAACTGATAATAGGACTAATATAAGGAAAATTGAAAAAAAAATTATCGCCTAACCCCAACCTGTTACCAATGTTACGTTCCGATGTCCGCCATCTTTGTTCGCATACTTCGGGAGCACCAATAATTGACCATTGATATTAGCACAAATGTATTTAACAATCTGCAGCTTATTTTACAAATCAAGTTACACTTAAAATTACCTAACACTGGCCAATTCAAAAAACTGCTCTTTTTGCTAATTTTCATTTTTTAAATTTTCATCCTCGTGGGAATTGTATTGTGGGAATGACGTTTTCGTCATCTTCGAATATGCTATATCTTGATATCAAGCGAATGAATTTCACAAACTTTTTATTTTATATCCAGGTGTTCGGAACTCCTGAACTATGGCCTTTAATCATCATAACCCCGGCAATACCATCTGCAATTTATATCACAATGTCTCGCTGGATAACAGACACGCCGTATTACATCATGAGAAACGGAGACAGAGCCGAACTCATGAAAACTATGGTGAAATTGCGGGATGGACCAGAGGTAGGATAAATGGGTATTTGTGTGGAAATTTTAGATCGGTTTAAGATCAATGGTTTGCAAACTTTTCAAGCCGCTCCTTCTTTTTTAGAATTTGTCAAGTCAATAAAATAACTAGCTAACAATAAGCTAAAAATAACAGATAGTAAAGCGAAAGTATGTTTCATTCAAAAACACGTTGGAAAAACGTGTATAGAACGTAAATATTGAAATTGCTCATGATAATAAAGATACAAGCACAACAGCTCTCTGCAGTCTCTAAAAATAAAATAAAAATGTAAATATCCAAAATAAGGCGGGCAAGATCAAATCTAACAAATATTTTTATTTTTTATTAGCTTCACGCCCCCTCAAAAAATTGTCGACGCCCACTAAAATTTCAAACACACCCCTAATCTTGAGGTGTGACACCACACTATATCTCTTAACGTAAATACATTCTTATTTGAATATCCAGAAAGTAGCCTATATCCCGGTGCAGATGTTCAGACAAATACACAACACATTTTTATAAGTTACAAGTAGTTTTATCACTAAAACAAATTAAATTTGAAATCTCCCCTTCTCTAAAATGAAAAGCTGGGGAACATACTACGTATCATCGATGGTGCTCGACCATGGGTGTACAATCTTTCTTCTACATTCGGCCGCATTTCGTTTTTGTAAGTGTCGCACGTTTTCCCCCTTCAACTTTCAAATTCTATCTGCTACGGTAAAATCAGAGGAACTCAATTCCCAACTGCGACTATATTATGAAAAACAGCATAAATTAACCTGTATAAATGAAAATATATAAACAATAACAAAAACAGACATGCTCCACACAAAAGTCGACTCTATTGACCCACGGCAACACGCGCCACAATACAACTTTGTGCCATTTTACGCCCTGCGGAAACAATTAAAGCAATTATAACACTCAATTAAAACAGCAAATAAAAGTAAAACAAGTGGAGAGGCAAAACACGGAAGATCATATCACAAAAGGATAACTGCCGCCAATGAGGTCGAGACCTTTTATATGAGTTGTGTTCAATGATTACTTCGTAGGTCGTAGGTATTCTTGCCTTGTGCTTATTTTGCAACTGAAATACCACCAGCACGACCGCAGATTTCATGGAGGCCTTAGGTTGTGCACCACTGATCTAGACGGATGGGTATTATAATACTCGAAGAGATAGCTTTGCGGGCCGTTCTCGTATTTCCGCTGTTCTAGAATGATTTCAAAAACATCCATCCGACCCGCTCGAAACAGTTCATTTTTTCAAAAATTTGATTGGCCTATCAAGCGACGCTTAAGTTTCACATGTAGGTGAGTGTAAGAGAAAGAAATTTTTCGCGCCGAAACGGTTATTAAAATTATGATATTTCTATAACAGGACCTGACCCAACAGCTTTTACACAATATTTCCTAGTGAGTTGAGGGTTATGTAAAATGTTACCTCAGAATGTGTAAAAAATCTAACATTTACATTCCTTTTATAGTCAGCAGTGGCTGCCGAAATCAGGAGCATGATGGGAGCACAAATGACCAGGCGATCGGAATCTTTATTAGAAAACAATTATGACCAATCTACAGAGCAGAAACAAACTTCTCAAGACATCACTCTGAAGACCGTGTGGACGACTGAAGAATATAGGTGAGGGGATCAAAAGTTTGACAACTATTATCACGCGAAATAAACGACTGACCACTTGTGAAAATTACCAGTCGTCCTTAATATTTACTTCAGTATTTAGACAATCGGGTCATGGGTACGCAAATCGTTTACGGCATAGCAATCAGAGACCAATTTTTTCTTTTCTTGAAGCGCTGGTACTGATACTATAAAGTTCACAATAGCTGAAATCGCTCAGATGCAAAAAGGTTGAATCACGTTTGAGATTTTTTGATTCACTCCATAATCTATACGCACATATTGCATATCGAGGCGAGAACAACCTGGAGGCTTTGCGAACTATTTGTTTACTTATCAAAATACTTAATATATTTTAAATACAAAGCAGCAAATACATCCGAGCCAATGAATAAAGGTATTTTAGTTTAATTAGAAACATTAATCGGCGCTCTAGAAATATGTGCACCAAGATGGCGCACAACCTGATTACCCTAACCTGGTACACATACTATGTTCAGGTTGTGCGCCATCTTGGTACACATACTTTTGGAGCACCCATTAATCGGTAGGTAGAAATATGTTTTTTTTTGCTTTTATTTTTATAAATTCATTGTGGGGATCCGTAAATAATAGTCCACCTCTTCACGAACTCCATAACACCAAAAGTTTAAGAACCCCCGTTCTATGTAACATTACGTCGTCGTTTAATTTCTGACGTATGCTGCTACCTAGTGGCATCTGAATTTATGTTGCTAAGTATCAATGTTTTTATTTCCAGACGCCAGTTTGTCATGGTTCTTCTTCTATTTGCCAATTTGATGTTGAACGGACTCAACAACGTCTTATTCTTTTCTGATTCTATATTTTTGGAAGCTGGAATCAAACCCGACTATGTCACCGTAGTTACTGTCGGCGTATTTCTCTTTCAAGTGTTATCAACGCTCCCTGGGGTAAGTCTACTCTAAACCACAACGTTGAAAGGAAAGTAAGAGAATAAAAATTTAATACCTATGTTTGTATAACTAAGTGTATAGATTTCGAACTAAAAGCATGGCAAGTGCGTTGAGAGTATTCCCACATCATAAACCTCACTAATGTTATTGGATTATTTATTTTATATATATATGATTTTTTTTTTCAATAACAAGATAATGGCTGGTAATTACGATAGTGGCAATACCACTCATCACATCAATTGCTTAATCATACCATATTTTTTACCTGACATACAGCTTGTTTTAAATATAAGTTACGGAACTTCCAGCAATTGTTGGAAACTCGGTGTCCAAAAATGTCCCAATAAACATATTGAGTGGGGCTCATGCTACGTTCTGGGTTTGAACAAATATAATATATTGGTAGAGTATTTATTTGAAATGAGATTCATACAACCTAATTAAACAAGCGGGACACGGCATTTTTGATACACCCACATTGCCATAAATTGAGTTATTCAATTAGCTTTAATAGAGTATAAATATTGAGATATCAGTAATTTTTTGTTTATATAATTGCAGTCTTACATTTATGATACATTATTCGAAATTTTGCCCTAAATCGAGTTGTGCAATTGAACTTCAAATATTAAAATATTAATAATCGTCGTTTAATAAATTGTTGTTTAAATATTATAGTATAAATATTAAAATAATAATTTATTTACATTATTACAGTCTTACATTCTCCACCACATGGGTTCTTGGAAGCTATGCATCATCGGAAACATTATCATGATAGTTGGACATATCCTCGTAGTAGCAAGTCTGGCAACGTATGAAACAGTGCCAGGAATGTCGTATTTGGCTATTGTTGGAGTCGCCGTGTATTTGCTTGGGTAAGTAATGTTTATTACGGTTTATATATTTTCATGTGGTTTCAGCATATCTCGGAATTTCTTCTGTAACTTTGCTCAGAACTGAGTTTTCTTTATGTATGCGCGCAGTGATCTTGGTTTGAACAAATTCCCGTGAAAAATTAACATAAAAAAATTAATGTTTGTTGGAGTCGCCGTATACTTACCGGGGTGAGTTATGTTTATTACGAGAACAGGTTTTTAATTCTATATTGTTTCGTATCTCTCAGAATTTCTTCTGTAATACTGCTTAGAATTTAGTCACCTTTATGTATGTGCGCAGTGATCTTGGTGCGTTCAAAGCACGGCCACAAGTACACATAAATTAAATAGTCAGTCACTCAGTAGTTTATTTTATCACAAGCCGAAAGTACACACTGTACAGACATAATAAGAAAGACAAAAAAAATACATTTCAGTGTGAAGGTAGACGTGATAAATCAGTGATGGTTATCGAGCAGCGTCACCTTTAAAATACTAACATATAAACATAGAATACTGTACGAAAGCCGGAGAATGTTTGACGGAGAATGTTTGAAAGCCGAAGCTACGACCGCTAAAATGTCAAGAGCCACTGACATTACACAGAACTATAGCGTTGGTTTGCGCGTTAGCAAATACCGATTGTAGAACCTACAGTAGCTATCTCGCTAACATGAGGTTCTCTCATTTCGAAAAAAGTATGTATGTCATTACGTAAGCTATATTAACGTGACACGCTCTGCATAAACCGGCGCTCCGGATGTGTTTGTCCAAATATGGAGGTAACTACTTTGTTGCCTATTTTACATCAAGTTGTGTAAAAGAACTGAAACCTATGGGTAGGGATTGGTGACCGTACATTTGAACCCACGTACATTTGAACCCATGTGTATATCCACGGGTTCAATCTATATGCGGGTGCTAAAACCCATGGGTTAGGGTTAGTGTGGGTTCAACTATCCGAAAAACAAAAAAAAATTCCATAGGTGCAATAGCATACAGGTGCAATTGCCATGGGTTCAAATGTACGTGGGTTCAAATGTAATGGAACCTAGGGATTATATTCAAGACAGACAGTCTTGAACTAAAATAAGAAAAATCGGAATAAAATTATGGACTAACCCTAACCTGGTACATACACTACGGGAGTACTCATTAGTCTAATCTGAATCATAACATTCGAAACGCAAAATATAACGCTAGTTGTCAGCTGTGGTGAACGAACCTATCCGCTTTGGTTAGCAAACGTACTATACAAAAACAAAAAACAAGAACGGTTTCGCGCGAAGCTCCCGAATCTTACCACTAAGGATAAGATCTCGAAATCTTGCGCTGGAGTGAATTTAAAATTGAACTGATATTTGTTACTTTTTTCGGCGACATTTTCATTAAAATTACAATTTATTAACTTTTTATATTTGCAGATTCGCGGGCGGAGAAAATATCGGCTTATTTCCACTTGTCAGTGAATTAACAACTGAAGTTACGAGACCAATCTGCGTTAACTTTGGTTGCGCAATGCTATGGTTTACTGGATGGTTGGTCGGATTTATGGCAACATATTTTCAGGTATGAATCGGATATTTACTTGGCTAACACAATAGAACTAAACTAAGAAAAATCGGAATAAAATTATGGTCTAACCCTAACCTGGCACACACACTTGGGTGGTTCCACAAGCATTGGTTGGAAATGAAACCACCACAAAGTTTTTGCTCGTCCAACCCAAGTAGTTTATCAGCATCACTAAAATAAAAAAAACTAATTGTTACCCACTTTTTGAATATTCTATCCGGACAAGAGGAGGGACTGTAACTTGCCTGTAATTTTAGACGTCCTGTGTAGTTCCATATATTCGGGAATAAATATGGAATCTTTTCGTATTTTGAAGTAAAAATGAACGCAGTTAGTCATATTTATGTACATTCATATCTATATGCCAAATTGCCGATCTTACTTTTATTTCGCATAACTTTCATATTTTGTTGTAGAAATGGATGGGCGCCTACAGTTTCCTAGTATGGATGGGCTTTACAATTCTGTTTACAATCTACATTGCTGTAATGGTTCCTAACACAAAAAACAAGACATCTGATGAGATACAGCAACATTTTAAAAAGCAATAATATTGCAGAACTGGCATGACATCATCTTGCACAACGTTTCCATTTAGGAACGGACGATACGTCAACAATCATATGACATCATGAATTTGCAGCACTTTTTAAGTTCATTATAATCAATATACCTATAACTATTGCACTTTAAATGCACATTTATGACGGCATCAAAATTATTACGTCAGCGAATAACATGGGTATGTATGCCTACTTGTCCTGCTCGTCAAAAACTATTTTTTTCATGTATTTTCCGTCATGCACTTATGGTAAATGAAATAAAAAAAAAAGTTGGCATAGTATGCCGGCAACCTACTTTTGAATTCCTTGGCCCGCCCATTGAAACTATTTTCTTCCCGTAAAATCATGATATAGTCATGGTACATGGAACGAGAAAAATCTGGCATTTCCAATATTTAGAGCGGTACGCTAATCTACTCTTCCTAGTCAGGTAGTCAAAATTTAACTGAAGTCGAAAACTTCCTCAAGTGCTGCATTATGACGAATTTATATGTTCCGTTAGCATTTCGTAAGTTAATTTATTGCTATAGCGATATATTATATCTAATATTACTTTTTCAGCAGAGAAACAAAGAGGCCTGTTTTAAAGTTGAAAGTAAAAATCTCAAAAATTCTATAATTGAATGAACAAGATTCGGAAATATAGGAATCGCGACGGTCGGATTCAAATTCTAATTCTTGAAAAATTATTCGAATCTTACATAGCTAGTTACCAGCTTGGCTGACATTTTCTTATTCCAAAATTTGTTTATACATTTATGAAAACGGCGCATTGGCATCTTTTTGTGGCGCTTCAGAAGTATGTGCACCAATATGGATAAACTAAAAGGGGAAAAGACTAGGGGCAAGGAGTATATCCACTTGGCTCACACAAACAGTTCCCGAACTCGTAATAGAACTAAAATAAGGGAAAAAAGTAGACAATTATGACCTAACCCTAACCTGGTACACATGCTACGGGGATACGCATTTTGTAATAGTTACGTTATATATATATGACATCTGTTTATCGACTATAAATAATTCTTTGAAACCACTGGATGAATTCACACTTCATCATTTTCGCTTTTCATTTTACTTGTTGTTAACATTCTATAAAATTCATACATTTTATTATTGTAATGTGATATATTTATTATATATATTAATTTTTGTACAGGATGAATAAAGATATTATGTGACGTTATTTTTATTTGTATTATGTGTTTTACCAAGCAAGCCCGTCTCCTAAGTGCGAGTATCTGAACTAACTTCGATATATATTCCCTTGCTTGACCTAGGCCTGGTAACCCGACGAGAGTTCGTGGTTAAACGTTCTTCTCCTCCGTAAAAAATATCAAAATTGGAATGCCAAATTCCGGGTAATAATTCCAGCAAATTCCCTAAAATCCGACGATTTTATCAATAAAAAAGAGAAATAGTTAATTTTGAAAGCAATTGCTATATGATAATGCAGATATATATAGCAAAGCACGGAAATTATCGCTGTCTGACTTCAAATATTTTGCATGCGTTGCACGTGAATTGCCATCTATAAGCAGTTTCATCCAGTCCAAACAGAGAATCCTCTGTTCGTCTGCGGTCTGATGGCTTTCGTATCTAATCACTAATAAGTATATTTTTATTAAGATATTATAGTTATATAATTCGGCAAAATTATACAGTACTCACCACCAATAACAGTAGTTTTATAATTAAGCTACCCGATCTTTTTAACTAAATATTAGAAACTTGGGTGTAGCTGGTCGATAACCAGCTCTGTTTCCCCGCGACTTCCCTTTCACAGTAGAATTGTATAATTATGAATTTTTAATAATTCTCAATGATTGCAAAAAACATAACAAGCTAAGTAATTTTTTTGCATTTAGTCGATTAATAGTAATACGTTTTCATAAACTCAGTTGCTTTTGGGAGACTTGGTTATCAAGTCAAAAATAGTCCCAGTTTCAGCTGGATGCCAGTGGGTTTCAACCTGGATTCCGCCATTACAGTTGAGGGGTTCCGCAAGTTTACATTCAAATCCAAAAGTCGGTACTCCCGTATTATGTGTACCATGTTAGGGTTAGGCCATAATTTTATTCCGATTCTCCTTATTTCAGTTCTATTACGAGTTCGTGGACTTTCTGTGTTAGTCAAGTTCATACAACTGCCCATATGTTTCAGCCCCTTTACACAACTTAATATAAAGTGAGCGAACAAAATTAGTTACCTCCATATTGGTACGCCTATTTCTAGAGCGCCCTTAATTGCACAATGATAACCAGATATGAAAAGCGATTTTTTGCTTGCCTCCTTACGTCACATCTATGCTTCGCAATACTTCAATAATAATAAATTAACACAAATTTCTCATAATTCTCAATGATTGCAAAAATCGTAGCGAGCTAAATAAATCGTTGCTAAATACTCTTTAGTCGATAAATAGTAATGTACAGTTTGTCCATAAAGTCTTAAAAAATTTTAAAATTGCAAACGGAATTTATCGATACCATATATTGTTTTGGCTTTCACAGATAATTAGATGAAGTAAAAATACTTAAACAATTACTGAATATAAAACAACAAACCGGGTTAAGAGAACTGACTTCATGACAAAATTAAAATTGTGAAGGGACTTTATTGAAACCCTGTATGTTCAAAAAATCAGTCGCTATTATCGGACTTGGTTATCAGTTCAGGGATGGTCACCGTTTCAGCTGCCTGTGTCAGTGGTTTACAACCTGGGTACCGCCATCATAGTCCATAGGTTCGGCAGGTTCACATTCAAAGCTGAAAGTCTATATTATCATATACAGTATATTGTTTAAATATATCAAAAATCTGTTAGGGTTTTCACTATTATTAAACTTGCTACTCTTTGAAAATAATTCTGTTTTGCCAGAATTAAGTTAGTTTTATGTATATTTGTAGTTTATACAATTCGGACTATAAAAGACCAACTATTTTATAGATGTTCACCGTACCTCGGAATGTTGAAAACGACTGACCTATACATTTGCACATATATTTAAGAAATATTTAAGCTACGACATCCACAATTCCACAGCTCAAATTACTATTCTTAGATTAAAAAACTAAATTGAATAAGAAGATGGATGTACATGTATCCGGAAACTCCAAATTTTTGGGCATGCATAATGGCTATATAACCCAAGGTCGTAGCCAGGAATTCTCAAAGTGAGAGGACTGAAATTTTTAATCTCCAAGTTAGGCCATAGTAGCTAACGGGCCCGACCGGAAAACGTGGCTTTTCAGTAATCTTGGAAAAACGTTTCAAGCTTCTGGAAATTTCTATTCTTTTTTTGGACACGTTTAGTGGACATAACGATCGTTTCAAAATTTTGTTGTTATTGTTATTTTCTTTCGTCAGTATCATTAAAAATCGCTTTTCTCTTCGAATACTGGACCAATTGCTTTGAAATTTTTAGTGGTTGAAGATAAAATTTTTCTCCAGAAGGCTATCACTTTTCTTTTCGCTATGACGTCATCAAAATTATTGCCAATGGGTGGCGCTACGTGTCCATATATTTGAGCATAGCTCTCTTGTTTTACATTTAAATGGCAAAGAGTAAAACAAATTTGCAGAAATGCATCACAGTTTTCATGTGCACATTTTATTCAAGCTTTTGTGTTTTTTTTTAATGGGTGCAATAATTATTTTGGGCTTTTTTCGACCTTATTCCAACTCTATCTGCAGCGCTGCGGTCCCATTAGACAATGCAAGGCAATTAACGTAACTATTAACAACATGATTTTTTAGAATTGAATTGCCTCTCACAGCTGATAAGTCTTTCTATTGAAGATATTTCATTTAGGGCTGGGTTGCCGATGTACCGGCTTCAGAAGCTACGAGTGATTCTTTTTCAGATTTAGTGGTTTGCCCAGTATTGCAATTACGGAAGCAAGAGAAACACCATTCATGAGGCCACGAAGCTTCGACGTTACGAAACAGTAGACAAAAGTGTATTTCGTACATGATAGCCAATGCCCAGCCGATGACGCACGCACCGATCCATACTCCATTGTGATGGGTTTGTGACGTCATACATATCAATGCCACAAACAGGAATAGCTCATTACAAGATACACAAAATATTCCATGACGACCATCGAATTTGTGGAACAGTGGATCCGGAGAGTGCGCTAGAGATCCGGCTGTGGTTTCAACCGCTTTCCGACGTTACTGGCTGATGACCGAGATGAAAAGAATGCATTGAGTCGGACGTGAAATCCGGTGATATAAGTAACGAAAAATAATCTAAAAAGAATAATATATTTATAAACATCAAATAATTGAAGCAAAAGAAGATTAATTGCCTTATTCGGATAACCAACTTATTTTACAGCCAAGTAAACAAAGTTTGGGTTTAGTATAGTTTAGTACAACAAGTACTTCCGATGGGCGTAGCATAACGAATATAACATATGTTATGCCTAACCCCAACTTGACTATGTCATATTAAAATTACGTTACTACGCCGTCACAATCACATCACAGAGCTTGTCAAAGTATAGCTACGATTGCCCGAAACGGCATCTGTGCCGCCGATATCGTACTAGGAGTGCGTGTGGTACTAAACTATACCAGACCCCAAAATTCGATATGAAATGTTTCGTTGAATAAAACTACAAAATTAAAATACGTGTGTTTAATATTGGATGAACCGCGGGTAATTCAAGTTGCAGAAGCAATTTTTCGGAACGAGGAAAATTTAGTCACTTGGTAAAACTATAAATGAAACTACATGTAATCTCATACAAAAAAAAACTTTGCTATATTTTTGATCATGTTCACCCGCTATATGGAATATAATCCAGAGTTATTTTATCAAATAACAAAGAACACCAAATGATTTGGAGGTATATTTGATTGTATTATGATCCAAATACCATACTCCCTACTTTCTCTATATCCCAAGTGAGCTTCTTCACGAAATGTAAAAGATCTTGGTTATGGGTGTAAAAACAAAAAACACAACAAACTCACAATGTCATTATCCAAGCCAAAATCAGAACTCCGAGAGCAAATTGTAGAGGTCCATGAAAAACATATGAAGGCTGTGAAGCAAGCATTGCCCAAGTCACTAAACCAACGACCAACTCTCCCAGCTGATACAAAGCTTGGAATGTCTTCAAATATGCAATTCCAGTCGGATCACTCATTGTTTAAAATTTGTTAGACAGGTAATTGATGTTATGAAAGGATCCTGAGATTGAAATGAAATTCTGTAAGTAATTCCACTCAAAAAAATAGATCGTTTCGCAGCCTTGCCCGTCAAATAAAACGCCTGTCAATACAAATGAGCAGGGACGTAACGCTTCGGAAGACAAGCGTATTTACAAATATGTACAGAAGAATTTAATAATCACGCCTAGATCTATAATTAAATGGGGGGCACTTTTTAAAAATATTTTGGAAATATATATATAGAAGTTTTTTAGATCGAAATTGCTTTGCCATTTTATTATATCTGGTTGCGTCCAATCCACTGCGCTACATCGAGATCATTAACACACCATACATCCATATTTAGACAACAAATCTGCCACTTTATTTTCAAGTTGGTTTTCATGTGTTTATGGTCTTGTTCTGCTCTGCCTTCATAATAATGAGTTTAAACTTACTATAAACAGCGTTTAGTTAATTGCATATAGCAGGGTTTACAGGTATTCTAGACACACCTGAAAAACTATTTCGCTAAATATCCAATAAATGCATTTCAATCTGAGAGGTGAAATAAAATCTATGGTATCATTTTTTCTACTGCTTTTGCACTAATATTTTATGTTCTCAAACTGACTAATAAAAATATATACTTTAATCAATACATCACTCAATGGACCAGCATGTATACAGCAATTTTCGAAAATATAAGCTTCACCTACCATATGGAGCTCATAACACGAACCGGCTAAGAGGAAGACATTTGAAACAAGCAACCGCCGTTGTATGGTTCGTAGATCACACGTTTCTAATACATCGATCATACATTAAACATACTTGAGCAGATATACCAAAGTATTATAATTATATATGCATGGAAACTCTATAAGGGCTTTCGCTGATAATGCGTTACTTCCTATGTGTATTGTTTGATATGCAATCTGATATATAGGCCTATTGTAACATCAAATTGGATACTTACGAAGAAATGTGAGATCATACAGTTCAATGCATGTGATAAATTCCAATATTTGTGCAATATTTTTAGTCATATATTTGCAAGTTTGCAAATCTAGACCCAAGAAACATGAATAGCCATGCATGCCATGAATGTAAAATGATGAAGTGCCCTCGAAAAACATTTAATCTGCTTAATAAACCAAACTAAACGCTCAATAAGCGTATACATTTGTCTCATTGGCATTCCTCTTGGAAACCAAGTATAAGATGTGACTAACTATAACATGCTCCACTTATTTTTCAGGCAAAATATTCCAGTGGTTATGCAGGGGTGAGCAAGGTTTTTGAACCAGGGGTCAAACATTTTGCCACTTGGACTGGCGGGCCATGTAAGTGTGACGCAAATAGTTTTAATTTTATTCATTTTATGAACAATATTTACAGTGTTACAAAAGTAAATGCGGAAAACAGCCTCTTGCCAAAACTAAATGTAATCGCAATTTAAACAAATTTCTAGAGCGGTCCAGATTGAACTAACTACGCAACGGGCCGGATTTGGCCCGGGGGTCGTAGTTTGCCCATGTGGGGTTATAGCTATGACCTAATTATATTGATTGTTGAGATTAGCATCGCGGATTCAAATACTGTGACCTGCCCCAAACCCAACATTTCATTTGTCATCCATTGCGTAGGCCTTTATCATAAAAAGTCCGCATCACTCAAATTTATTATAAATCTCTCTTTCTTTGTATTTTTGCATTATTTAAGTAACAAAGAACAAGTCTAAAATAGAAATGAATCATTCTAACGATGGAATCAACGATAGAACCATTCTAACATTCTAACGATAGAATCAATCAAATAATTTACAAGGGATTGGCATCACATTTAAAAATAACTAAAGGGACGATGTGGAATGAATTTTCGGTACGGTTTCCCCAAACCCATACTAATGGTATTAGCAAATCCCAATAAAAAAATTGGTTATTTGACCGCGCTACGAAACTTATATATTACCATATTATATAGTACCATACCATATAGTACCATATTATAGGTCAAAAAAGGAAAGCGCTATCAATAAATTAGCTCGGCTAATAAGCTTTGCGTTCTTTTTAAACTTGATTGGTTATATTTTAGTCATTTGACAAGTTTATAGAATTGGTCTTGGGTGGTCTTCATACTTGTCATTTCTCTGTTGATCGCGGGTATGTAGAACGGGTGGAATTGGGGCGCAGATTGCACGATGCTATAAAAACATGTGTTTTTTAGGGGTTTACAAACTGTATAGCAATCAGACATAAAATAAGTTTTAATCTTCACATCGTTAAAGATATATTCAATTCAATGCGACGCCTATTAACGTCCTTCGCTGAGAATAAGGCCCTGATATCTAATATAAGATGTTGGTTGTCGTTTTTAGACACGTACATGCTGTTGTACTGAATTGATTCAGTACTGTGATTGCGCACATACGAGCTATCAGTTACATAACAATAATTAAAACTATCGTACAGCAGCGTCGATGAGTAAGTATACATTATCGGGGGATATGCTACATCCGGATGTATATAGCAATCTCGGATGTAAAAACCAATATGGAGCAATTATTACTTGTTTACATCGAGGAAAAGCCATAGGTGAAATGACGTGATCCATTTACGCGGCCATACTCGATTGTGAGATGCCAGACAAACTTACTTCGATAGGTAATAGTAGTGTAACTTTACATTATGATGCAGGATATATTGAATTCAATTTGCCCGGTTGAAATACCTAAAAAGGGGGCGCTTGATTTGTTTCTATTGTGGAACGTTAATTATAGCATGAATCCTATTTTATATGTGCACTTTTAATATTTCCCCATCATAACACAGAGAATGCCATTGAGCTCTATTAGCTTCTAAATAAATTCTAAGTATAGTGTTTTTGAAATAAATAAGATTCGATTTTATGTTTTTGTTAAATTTAAATCAAAACTCGGTAAATAGGGAAGATATTTCTATAACCTGGATCGAAATATACAACAGTACATCCCACATTTACAATATTCATACATTTTTTATCCTGTGGGTTTTCAAATGATCATAGCAAAAAAATATATACTGTATATGCAACCCCCCTTGCAGTAATAGATTTTATTTGTAGCTTTCGTGTTTTTGCGTACAGTTACTTTGAACAAAATCAAATATAAAATGAAATATACGGCGAAATCCATTTCCTTTAAAGAGCGATTATCCGCTTAACGATACCAGGGGCACATTTTTGAGTTCATAGTCTCGTTTCTGGCTTGAAATTCATTAAATCAAAAGAGGTTTTTACTTCGTTAATACGTTGCAATACTTGTACTCTTTTAATAAATAAATTATTTGTTTCCGTTCTGTGCTTGAGTAAACATTACAAATAAGTAATACCAGGATCGGAAAGTTATAAATCATCCTGAAACGTTAGGTAACGTATATCTCCTTACTTATCTGATGACAATTCACACGTACCAAATAGAACTCGTATTTTTTATGGATGAGGAGCCTGTTTTATTATAGATTGAAAATCTTCATTTGTAGATTTCTGAAAATAGCTGAAATATCCCAAAAAGTACTTTAGTGAAATTCTACAGGTAAATTTCTGACGGATATTGGTTGGAATTTTTGTTTATAAAATCGCTTTTGTTGCAATTGTTTTCACTCTTCTTGAATAAGAATATATAGTGGGCGTCGTCAGTACAAAAAGGATGAAAAAATTGAAAGTTTGAATAAAGATTTACTTGGTTGGTTGCACTAGTGCAGCTGTTCCAGAAAGAAGCTAAGTGCGCAGCGCCCACAATTACCAGAATTGTGTTAAACATAGCTACTATATTATCGAACATTTGAAAAGAAGTGTTCAGAGCAGCAGCCCCACACATCTTATTAGATAAATAAGTGTGAATGTCATGACGTTAGGTTGTTTTTTTGTTGACATTGCCTGTATTCGGAGACGAAAGCCTATAAGTCGGCTTGAGCATATGGCGAACCAATGCCTCTCGTCCGATTACCAGTCCATGTCGGGTAGGGGATTTTGGTTAGTCAATTATTTATTTCAGGTACATGGACCATGCTTGTATTGAAGTTGCAGGTTTAGATCCTGGCTTTCAATTTCTAATGTTGGGTTTCTGAATTCAGAAAGAGCGTAAAATTGCACAAATGTGTACTTCAGAAGTAGTTGCATCGATATGTAAAGTTCAAATACAGTTTGTTGAAGCAAAAATAAACATGCTCAGATACAGATATGCAAAACTGAATGACGGTTCATGAATTTGATCATAGATCCGCTAGGTGGACGTACACTTTGTTTGTGTAATCGGTGGGGCTCATTTAATATATTTCCTTTTCTCAACATCACAAATACCAACGACTCCCATTTTTGGTTCATTCCGTTGATTAACAACATGTAAACTTCTCAAGTCTTGAAAGATGGCATACCTTAAACAATCGCCTATGGCTTCAAATAACAAAAGTCTTCTTTCTTAAATTTCTCTTCCCCTTCGTCTATTTTGGAACTTTTATGATTAAAAACTTACTTTATTTATTCAATCTTTAATGAGGTTTAACTGGTTATATGCGCAAGTCGCACTCCAGCTTTGAAGCAGTTTAAATAGTTTATAGTAAATGCATAAATAAGTATCACAATTATAAAAAATATTTTAAATAATTATAGTAATAGTACAGCAAATTCCTTCCAAAAAATGACAAAATTCTCCCAAGAAACATGAATTCGGGAACATGAATTTAACGAAAACAGTGACTCCAAGATACGCCCTTGTTCGCGTAGTTTCGCATTTTATCGCATTTTGCTTTCTCAGCATCAATTAGGCAGCCTTGTTTTTGCGCTCTCTTTCGGCCACTGCTTCTTCGGGGCTACTGCAAAGTTAAATTTTTATGTTTATGTTTAAATATATCTAGGCTTACCTTGCGTCGCGGTTGAACCGAGACAGACACAGAGTTAATATTACTAAGCATAGGAATCGAAACGAGGTTGTCCAATCGGCAATCTTCCGTTTTTTTGTTGTTTCATATATATGGTTATCATAAATCCAACCCCAAAAATATCGTACTTATATTTCAATATATTTCAGAAAATTTCTCAGCCAAAAATTTGGATACATGTGAACCACCGGACCTTACTCGCTCATATTTAGTTGTTTGGAGACTTGTTCGTTTTCCTACTCTACGCAATAAATTGAAATGAACATAGA